CACAAACAGAATGGAAACTGACAGACATTTTAGAAAATATTGTTTAATATTTATGCAAATAATATATCGAACGAATACTTACAACTACCTAATAATTGTCTATACAACACACATCTATAAATATTGAAGAATACAAATTTTATAAGTGCTCGAATAGGCAACATTATATATTTAAGATAATACCTATATTATGGTTTCACTTATGTCTGTCTTTCATATCAGCATATTTTGTACCACCTATTGGGACCAATGGGACCATTTTCTTGGAATTCTAGTCTAGTCTTTCGAACTTATTTTACATTTATCATAAATACACTCACTAGGACTTATACTCAATGCAAACATAGTAGCTAAACAAAATTCCGAAATTATCTTCATATCAAAACATAATRATATATACCTCACTAATCGTAATCATTTATACCAACTATAACATCCAGCAACCTATAACAAAAATGCATACCTACAACCAAAGAATACGTTAGACAAAAATATATCATAMAAGTGCAGCGAGGTACAATTTACCTATAGGTATACCTTCATTTTAACGTATAATCACAGAATAGATTCTGTGGTATAATAACATTCGTGATATCTCAGTGGAAGATATGAGTACTAAAAACCCAGATACTTGTCACGTTCTACATTTTATCTTTGTAAACTAATTGAACTAATAAATCATTACCAATATAGAATAATATAGGTAATGCACAACCATCATGACTTTAAGACATTATATTTGTATAACAAAAACACATCAGAAGTGTACAGTCTGTAGTACTCTGTACAGAATATAGTGCACGGGTTGACTTCAAGCTCAAGTGACTTATCTTTGAAACGATTGGATTCAAACGACTGTATAYTTAGGCCATCAATGTTCCCCAACCTTATTTTTCCACGCCCCCGTTGTAAATTTTCAAAAACCCCTCTCCCGAATCAAATTAAAAAGCATCGTTGGTTGGAGAGCATATTTTATWATTTAAATCTATAGTAATATTATGGCTACTAAAGTAATTTATTACACTTTTAGTAATACTCTAAATTCTAATACTAATACACATAGGCGCAAATAGACAAATTATTTTGGGGGGACTAAAGCCCTTCCTATAATATTTTCAAAAAATTATATATTCCCAGTACTTACTAATTAATGACTTTTGAACTGGGGGGACTTAGTCCCCCCAAGCCCCCACCTATTTGCGCCAATGCTAATACATTAGATTGAATTAATGGTCTGCCGAAAACATTGTATTTGAAAATGTCATTGCGTGTGTAAAATATAAAAACATACGTTAAAAGTTTCAAGTTTCCAAGAAGACAAGAATAATATTTTTGAATTACAATAAAATCACAAAAAAATTTTGACAAAAATCGGTTTTTCATAAAAAAAAAATGATGGATAAATAAAGTGGATATTATATATTCTATTGAGAGGGGATATAAATGATTCAGCAGGCGTCATTAAAAACCAGTCAGAGTGTCAGTACAGACTTAACCCCTGAATTATATAGGAAATAACTAATCAAGTATACATTTTAACAATTAAATAAATTCCATAAAACATTCCAATAGAACAAGTCATGCGTAGCATATATTATTATATAATAAGTATTATATATATCTAGCGGAAAACAGCTATATAGTGGTGTGTGCTGAACTGCAGCAGTTTTGATCTTATRAGACTGCAAGACAAAAAAGTAAGAACCTACCAACCCTGGATATTATACTTATGGATTTTTCGTTCAGTATTTTTTGTTACAACAAAAAACGACATTGTTATACAATTTGATATATATATTTGTATTTTTAACATTTACCGAACAAACCAACTCATTTTATACGTGAGCTGGTAATTGCCACGAATAAATCTTCTCCGTCACGCCACACTGATACACTTGGCTCGGCCGTGACGACAAAGGAACGGATACATAATATTATTCCGACGGCGTCGGGAACCGAATCGAGTGGTGCGCGCGCGCGGGTGGGTATGTGTGTGTGTGTAATGTGCATACATATATACACATGTATATATATATATATAGGGGACTACCACCACACGCCCCGCCCCAATGACTAAAAGCTATCCAAATCAAAGAAACCGACACGAACTTGCAGAAACACGTCATAAATAATATTATACACGCACAAAACATACAGTCGTAGAATAAGTCGTAGTCGCCTCCAACGCTGTCAGCGTCATGTGCCTGCGTAACCATGGCGAAAACTTATTTGCACAAATCCATATTTCTACCTACACCACACCCGTACGGTCGGTTACTCGCACATACCATAACATATAGTATAATTTATATAATATACAATATATCTTTCTATCTATATAATATTTCTGACGAGTTATTTTTTTTTTTGTCACTCACTTAAGTTCCGTACGCAGTGGTGACAACATTCGATTCCCAATTTAAAACCTCACACTTCGCATGGGACATAGATTAGGATTTTTTTCCTGGTTCAGCGCATTTTTTTCCGTTCAACCGAATTTTAATTCTATAATTTAAGACTTTAAATATTAAAATTGAATTAAACAAATTTAAGGTTCATTTTAAGGTAGCTCGACTGCAGTGARCTTCCCTTTTCACCGCCTCATCATTGTCATCCACCCTTCAAATTTACACACTGTACATATTATATTAGATCGTAAATTTTCATTAAATGTTATTTTATAAAAATTAAAAACTTTAAATATACAAGTATAAAATATTTTTAGTAGGTATAACTAAATATCACCTACGTATGATATTTAAAAAAAAAAGTAACACGATGTCACGATGATACCGCTCTCTACTCTGCTGTACTGCAGTACCTACAGTACCTAACCTATAGGTTTCAAGAAATGGTCACTGTAATGGCTGGTATTTTAGACCCAACGTTACACCTACCTATATGTTTTATGGTCTAAATTACAATTCTTATTTCTAACTACCTACCTGARGACTGAGATGTCAACGTAGCGACCGTTTTCCATCATTGCTAAATTTCAATAACGCACCAATCTCTTAAGAGCCGACCGTCGATAGTATCTTGGTGTAAAATTGGACATAAGACYAACCTGGTGGTCACATTAATCATCTAACTCCAACAAGCTTAKCGACGCCTAAAGCGATACTGTTTTCTATTTTAAGCAGGAAATCAACTTTAGAGAAAAAAATGTCTTACTTATCTACAAGCAAATAGGTACTGCRCCCTTTGTTTATTTGCGTTTGTCCCATTTAGGGAACTCACTTCAGAAAACTTAAAATATTTCAAACCAACGCCTTGAGAACAATGACAAATAGTCCATGGTTTGTAAGGAACCTGCAAAATATTCACAAAAACTTCAAAATCCCATTTCTACAAGGCCATATTAAAAATTTGGTCAATAGCTTCTTCAGAAGTCAAACGGATCAATGTACCTACTACCAACTTAACATAGCCACATGGGAGATGGKACCATCGCTCCTACACCGCCTTAAGGTGGATTTCCACTATACACGTTCACGTAAATTCTTTGCTGTGATTGGTTGATTAGGTAAGGTAACCACACGATTAACCACGTTACCGGACATAGATGAATATTTTACGTGTACGCGACACACGAGTATAGACAGTGGGAAACTGGGAACACGCCTTTAGATGTGGTTACCGTAACGACCTAATTGTTTAACCAAGCGATTAACACTATACAGTATACCGCTATAAATAAGTCACTATCTGAGAAAGTGAAAATTAAAAATCTTTATTTTGGTCAGTGACTATGTTGAACCTGAAGTCCTGAATCCGAGTAACAGATAATATTAAGATTGGTTTATACATGTTTAAAGCGGCCCTCACACGGTCAATATTATTGGTCGCGTCACGTGAGGAATGATTCACTGCCACTATGGAAAAACAATACTAAATTACTAACGCTGATGAAAAAATTGGACATCGAACCTTCAGTATTTATTTATTCATAATGATATTGCCCCGCGTGGTTTATAAAGACAGTTCATCATTGATCACTGATGAGATGAGCCATGGCTGACGAAAATTAAAATACGTGTGCAAGTGAATCCCGAAATTCACAAATCCTGTGCCAAATACTGAGTATTTACGTTAATTAATGCTTACTGTCTGAGAACTATATCGTCAATAATAATGACCGTGCGAAGGCCAATTAGTGTAAAATGTATTTTAGTGTACAAGCACTATAAACACTAAACACGTATTGGCATAGGATCAACGTTCGAGGCCAACCACAGTGGTTATTGATGATTTTTATTTTTGTGATTAACTGTTAGAATGGCCGCCGCCATTACATATTAATATGATGAAAATAATAATAATATAAAACGCCAAGAGATTATCATCTTCATAAAATTTAAAATTTAAATAGTTGATGATTTAGTATTTAGATATGTCGAAAAATAAAAGTATATTGTTGTAATGTTTGCTAATTCGTGTATGTATTCTGCAAGAGCTTTACAAAATAATTGTTCACGAATCACGAGAGATAAGAGATACCTTAGACAATATTTCAGAATCTATAACTATTTTATTTAATATAATTTTTGAAGATAGCATTATGTATTAACATATAAAAAAAATATTACTATTCATATATTTGAATAAGGTGGATAAAAATAGGACTATTGTCTTAATTCTAACTCTATTTGGATGTCAAAACCTACTAATTTCCATTTATTCTTTAAACATAATAATTGTATTAAAGCAATCAATATTAACTGTAAATCTGTAATGCTGTAATACCATTCTAAAATTAGTTCTCTATTTTTGACATTTGAAAGCCACTATCTATATACCTAACCTAACCACATTTATTAAATGCGTACATTTTAGATGCAATAATAAATAAGTAGTTACCAATTTTATAAATAGTTAGGTTATGGTTGTCAATATTGTAATTAATCGTTAAAATTATTAATTATTATAATTATGTGTACTTCATTGTAAAATAACGAAAATATTTACATTAATATTATTTATGGTTATAATAAGATTTATAAAAATTAGTACATTACACATTACACTATTTAAAAAACAATTTATACGTATAAAACGTATTTAGTAAAATTTGGTTCTGTAATCTGATTAGTTTKGTTTTACAGCTCAACTGTAAACTGTTGACCTTTTTTGATTCCATAGTAAATGATTCCATTTTTCAAGAAGGCCCATGCCATTTTAGGAGAAGAAAAGCCAATTCCGACCTCCCCATTTTTGGAAATAACAATAGCCCCAGCACTGCCACCTACACGGCCTGACATGCCATCACACGCTTTCTGAGCTGCAATGTTTGGAATTTCGCCTAAATAATATAAAATATATTAATACTATAATATTAAGGGTAAATTATACAGTTAACTAAATAAGTAAAACATATTATTTTTAATTATAGAATTATAGAATRCAATAATTTGTACCGTWTTCCAAATTTTGCATTATCCTTTGGGCCAAACAATAGCGCATTATGCTATCACCGTGGCCAGTGGTTGAAATAGTGCCCACGGTATCATCACAGTAACCACCAGCACCAACAACAGGTGTATCACCAACTCTACCTGCCATTTTGCCRGTGATTCCTCCTGTTGAAGTACATGAAACCATATGCCCGCTGTTTCCATCCATACCAATAGCACCAACAGTGCCAACACCTCCACTAAAAAACATAGTAAATTATATATATATATATATATTTTCACAAAAAAAATTTTTGTTTATAGACATTTATTTATTATTATATTATTACTGTCCAATTTCAGTTGTAACGGGTTCACTACCAGATTTCAAAAAATTTTCCAAGCCTATTCTTGCATCATTTGTTATCAGATAATCATCACTGACGGTTTCAAATCCCATTTTTTGAGCAAACTCATTAGCACTTGCACCCATTAAAAATACGTGTRGTGTGTTTTCCATAACTTTTCTAGCCAGTGCTATTGGGTGTGCAATGTTTCTTACACCAGTAACACTTCCTAGAATCAAACAACTTTAATACAATATATTTAATAGATAATGTATATTTCTTACCAGCCTTCATGTTTTTTCCTTCCATAATAAGAGCTTCCATTTCAATTTCGCCTTTTAGATTTAACACTGATCCACGGCCCGCATTGAATGCTGGTTCATCTTCCATATACTCAACAGCAGCTTGACATGCATCCATAATAGATGATGTTTTTTTATAGGTTTCATAAGCTTTTCTGAGAGCAGTTATAACTCCATCAAACTTTGGTTGGTCCCGGTTGTCAGGTATATTTCCTGCTCCACCATGCACAACAATGACCGGTTCAGACATTATATTAATTGTTTACCAAAAATAATTTTAAATGCAATGATTTGAATGATTTTATATAAATTGCATTAACACTCAATGTTACAAACTAGATTTGAATTTTATCTATATAGAATATAAGTGCAATAGTATTTTTGTACTTTGGAGTAATCAAATTATATTATACTACAATATACGTATATAATAATCTGCTTAACTGTTTACCATTTACTTAACACTAATAATGCAATAAATATTAAATACAAATAAGTTTAACAAGTGTTTTTTATCTCTTATCAATTAAACAGTGAAATTGATTATTGGCTTTTATAAATATTAAGAAATATCTTATAATATATTATTGTCTATGCTATTAAATTTACTCATTGAACTAAATTCATTTAATTACCCATTCAATTCTGTATATTTAGTACACGGAATATGATTCATATTATATTACTTATATTTAAATGTTTTACAAAACCATACTCTTAGGCTGTAGATAATAAATATACTTGATACAGTATTACATTTAAAGATTTTGAAARTCTAATACCTGTTTTATAGTTATAAATTATTATACTGTATATCATTGTGGTATAATCACAGATTAATATAATCTGTGGTATAATACTATACTACACCTAAGCACATTTATGATAAAATCAATATTAAATATTTACATGTACATTGTATTTACTTGTGGGCATTGCTGTATTTAAACATTTTCAGCAGTAGGGAAATAAATCTAGTTTTATAGTCTCCGAAAATAAGTTAATTTCTTAAAATGTAAGATAGAACTATGATTTTGTTGGAGGGGGGTTAATTCATCCATAATGCTAACACTGCAGATTATAATAGATTAGACAGCTGACAGACAATGTAGTAACTAGTAGCATAGATCATACTGAATATAAAATTAACAAAAAAATATCAAACATCCATTGGACTATTTATAACTTCCCTGAATTAAACTCTTCACTATTAATGCAAAAAAWAAATAAATATATTATATCTCTTATTTCTGACTAAGTAAAACACTTTTTACCTTTCAAATCATTATACTATTTTTGCTTGTATAATTATGTTTTTCAAACATATTTTAGTACTTCTCAGAATCAAATCTTWATAATATGTATACTTCATCATACTACAATACCAATGAGGCAAAGGGCAATCTTTTTGCTTTACTGAGGATTTAATATTATTAACAGAAGATAGAACAACTGCCTTCCTCTGCTGTGTGTATCAACACAAKTATTAAAAAGGAAATAGCAAATTATTGATCAGATAAAAAGTAATAAAATACACGGTAAAATATTAACAATTTATCATTTTATACTTATTTATTATCAAAGACAAAGTGTTTACAAGTTTATTCTTCGGTTCCGTCAACATTTTCCGTACCCAATTTTTTGAATGTAGGTACATT